CATGTACAACATTTTAACATCACTTTGGCTGAGCTTGAACACACAGAATTTTTTTTTTTTAAATGAGCTTGTCAAACCAGACAAGTTCACAACTTATGTTTTCGTTTCACAAATATGAATATATAATGCACAGCGCATGATTTCAATAGTTTGTCTAGATCTAAAAGCTTTTATTCATTTTTCCAGCAGTTTGGCTGCGCACGTGAGTTGAAGGCACTTCAATGTAACATCATAAGATAACATAAATCCAGAGAAATTGGACAGTTTTTGACGAAAACCTTCGCATGTTCTGAAAAAGGCAACCGAAAACTGTAACCAACATGCTGCTAATCCAAGCTCCAACATGACTGCAAGGGTACTCATCATTCAACGTCTGTCACAATACTGGTTACAACTTCACTCATTCGAGTAAATATTGACAAGAAAAATGCCAATGTCAAATCTAACTCTCGTTTTGGCAACCGGAGGACACAATGTGGCATAACTGCACAGCAGCCAATCGCAATATGCGTTATAAACTGCGTACGTATACAATTTTGAAGAAAAACACCAATGCCAATCGCATAAAGTACATGCAATGTGGATGGTGGTAAATAGCCTTGGATAAAATGGGATTCTTGACAGCTTTGGTTAAGTCTGTCAGGATGCCAAGGCAGAGCCAGGGAGGTTAATAGAAAATGTTGTGTTATCTGTGCACAGTAGTTCCCTCTAAACCTTCATATAGCGTTTGTTCAGTGTTCCCCGTGTAGTGAGCCCCCCCCCGTAAGTTTCGCCAAGTGAGCGGGCTACCTAGATGCAGTGGATCGAGCACGGACACCACCTACACTTTGGATCTCTCTCTCACTTCACTTTTTTGGTTGTTTCCTGCCCTGGGTGCATTTTTTGCTACAGAGTTCGGTGACATTTGTCAGCGTATTCTCATAAAGTCCAGGAATCAAGCTATGCTGTTGGTTTTGGTCAGCCATTGCTTTTCAGCGTCTCCATTTGTAAATCTTTGGTTCAAATCAATTGATTGGTTTCTGGGGTTCGTCATGACTGGTTTTGTCAACAAATTCTTTTGTCCTTTTCCTTTTGGAACCTGATGTCTGTAACTGTATACTCGCCAGGTTCCTTATTTTGCCACTTACGGTGAAAAAGGTGGCGAAATCATGGAGTACGGTCACAGATGTTAGGAAGTTTTGTTCTTTGTCTTGTGATCATTCCTTTCAAAAGAGCCTTTGGTTATTTACAACATACACAGGCAAAGACCTAGCTCAAGATTAAACACTCGTCTCCACGAGCAGACAAGATGGTGGGTTTGAATGGTGGGTTCGCGATACAAGAAATGATCCGTCCTTTTTCCTTCTTGTAGACAGTTCGGACATACAAAGTTGAGCATACATTCTGAAAGGCCCGTGATCTAAGCATATCATTTTGAAAAAAGAATGCAGTTAGATGTATTTTTAAAACAAACTGCAATACATGAAATACGGGCGATTCACAATAGTGCGCCTACAAGACTTAAGCAACACCTTGATCAATCGCGGTGCGCAAAATCTGTCGACCCTTTCCAAAGGCGTTATGGGTTGACAGATTTAGCACATTGTGATTGGTCAACGCGTTGTAAACTCCTGGAGGTGCACTATTGTGAAACGCCCGTAATCCCGTATTCTACAGTAAAAAAATGCATTGTATAAAGTGAACCGGTTAATGCTTGGTAATTGTTAAACACATCACTTTTACATTGACTAATTTGGCCAGAAATTTAGAATACTCTTCGCAAACGGACTTCGGAAAGTTCTTTTTTCTTTAAAGTACAATGTATATGAGAACGCTTTTTCTGAAAGAAAACTGGTATCATATCCTAAAAAATCCTAAATATATACATGCCCTTGTACGAATTATTTCTACAAAAACAGGCCCGTCGATCAAATAAATTACGAGAACAAACACTTAAGTTAGTCAGTCTGCAATTTTGTACACAATTCAGTCAAATATAATGTTTCTCACCTGGAGTAATTTGTTACCATTCATCGGCTAGAGGCACGATCAAATACCAGTCTCAAACAGGACGGACGCCATGTCTGCACAACATTCATGATTCTTTGTCACATAGCCCAAAACAGTATACTATTTAAGCTCTAAAACGGCATAGATATACGTAATAATATTCTATTCTCATTGCATTTTGCATTTTGACAGCCAGACCGGCTGAATCGGAGACAAGCAGTTTGCAAAGGTGGATCGGGGGAGGGGAGGTAACGAACCTTCCTTAAATCCTCCAAAATCATCCACTGTGCAGAACACAAACCACGCATTCTTTGCAGATGAGGCAACAACAGGTGGACTCCGCCTTCCTCAATCCTGCAAAATCCTAATGAAGATTTCCAAACAGATTTTGAAAGACTTGGAAGGGTTTAGGTTAAAGTTCCTCAAAAAAAGAAGTTGCCAAATTTCATGTATTTCTTTAGAAACATAAGGTTAAAATACGTCCAAAATATCTCCAGCTGTTACCATGGTTACACACTCTTTTAGTCAGTATTGTATGCAGTGGGGAGGGGGGTGCCAGTGGGGAAGGGGTCAAGTTGCCCCCTTGGAATCATGCCGGATATTCTTTTTTTTTTCATTAAGGAACTAAAGGTGCCAGCATTTTTTCAACGACAAAAACTTCTGGACAGCCGCTTTTAGAAATAAAAATTCACTTGCCCCCTCTCCCAAGCAAGGACATGCCACTGCTTAAAGTAGGATACCTTCACACCCCTTCATACTATGACCCCTGTCAACTATGGTCAGCAAAATGGTTCCATTTGACACTGAATTCCTTCTCTGCCAAGTCCAGCCGCTGCCTCTGACCCACAATAAACACCCTCCTACACATGTACATGCAGCCAGGGAGGTATTAAGACACCCTTTCCGCATGCACTACAAAGAGCATTTTCAGTGCTTTACGATCAAGAATTTGACATTTCAAATGTTACGTGGGACAGGTTTTCCCAATGTTTACCAGCGTCAACAGAAAAGTATCTTAAAATCTTATTAAAAGTGTAGGAGTTGAAGGTTTCGTGAGATATAATTCACAATCTGGTCTGAGCTCTAAACTCTAAACTTTTTTTGGGACTCAGTTTTATCTCTGTACTTCCCATCAAATCACAGGGCGCTGGCGTGCCCGACAAACCGTGAAAACAATTGCCGGTCTTTCATTCCTGGCGCAGATGCGCGCGTACCCCAGACAGGCTTGACAGAGGTACACCAGATCAGGAATTTCAAATAAGGAGTGCTGGCCTTCCAAATGTGTTGGCTTTCCCCAGATATCTTGCTGAGAATGGGCGCCAGGCGGCATTCCTTTCAGAAGTCGGCCCACATGATGACCTTCTTGTTACGGTCGCAGCTCAGCATCTTAGTACCGTTTGGGTGCCAGGTTACGGCTATAACAGGAGCACTGTCAAAAAAAAAANGAAAACTTTTAGTTCTACAGGGCTTCTTGCAGTTTTCATCTTGTTTTAAACTTTCCATCACCCAGCTCCTCCGTTGGTCACCGGTGTCAGGGTACCGGTGCACAGGGCGGCCACTCACCTGTGTTCCTTGATTGTCTTCTCTAGTTTCATCGTCTGCATGTTCCACACGTAGATGGCGCCATCCTGTGAGCCGCACGCCGCGTAGACCCCATCCGGGCTGAGCGCTGCCCTGGTATACTCTAAGAATACTTTGAAACCGTCCGCACTGGGAAAAATAAAAATGTGTATCTCATGATTTGAATGAACTATTGACTGGAAAGTCTTTAAACCTTGGCATAATATTAGTCAAATGGATTGCTTCCGTAGCAGAAAAGGGAGCGGTATGAAGCTAATTTTAGGTGCCTCGACTCATTGGGGGGGGGACTAACTATATTGCACTGAGACTGCAAAATGAAGAAAGATAGGAAGTGGGGATTTTAAAAAACCCTTTCCGCTCAAGTGCTGGCCTACATCACGGAGGGAGGACAGTCTCTTTTGTCAGAAAATGTTTTGATTGGCGTACAGGGACTCTTGTGTGTCCCCACAATGTCTGAGATCCCCTATGAAACTACTGTATTACATGTGAGATTCACAAAATATAGAGTACAAGAACCTGGAGCACTCACCAGAATGTGCCCACTACTTTGTTCATCCGAACGTCGATCAGCTTGAGCGCGTCGTCCTTGGAGCAGGAGAGCAGGTAGTGCCTGTCGGGGCTCAGCTCCAGTGACGTGATCTTGCCAGAGAGCTCAAACTCGTTGGCCCTTGCGTCGGCTGACCTAGGGGTCATGGTGAGGTCAGAGGTCAAATTGTAAGTCCAAAGAGTTGGTCAAGATTTTAAACTGTGTAGTTACATGTAATGACCTATAGACATTTGACAAGTGTCAAGAACTATAGCTGAGAACAATTTCACTTTAAGTGACCAGCTTGACTGACCTTGTGTCCCAGAACCGTATCTTTCTGTCAAAGTGGCCACTGATGATATTCGTCCCCCTGCCATCGCTGGTGACGAGGTCATTGCAACTTGATCCTGCAAAAATAGTTTTCGTACCTACGCAAGGAAACAAATATACTAATAATCACGGACAATGTAAATGTGAGAATCTTAAAAGAAGAAAAATAATTTGTCAGTTTTTAAACTGATTTAGTTTGCATCTGATCAAGTACAATAGGCTCTGGGTTTTGACCTATCGCCTGGTTTGGTAACCGAATTAAAATGATCTCTTTCTGGGTGAAAACGTTGACGGTTTCGACCGAATTTCATTGTGCCAGATTCTCCTCAAGGCTTTGAATGTAAAATTGGCTCTTGGTGACTAACAACCCTGAAAGGATTTTGCTTTTACATCCCTACCAAGACCAATCAGAAGATTTTTGAAAATAACCCTTCATTTGTGTTCAAAATTACAAAAAATTGGGCACATTTACGTTCAAGACTTGAATCAGGATTTAATGAATCTTCCCGAAACAAATCTGAAATAACAGGTTTTGCTACATGTTGAAACATATCAACGAGGGTTGGTAATTTTCCAAGAGTTGTGCTGTTCCTTAATAACCCCATTTCATGGGGGTATTAAGGTAAAGTCTTTCCCACCTCTTCCTGTAGGGTGGGGTCATGTTTATTGCTCTGCATCCTGTCAGCACACACAAACAAGTTGCTACAAGTAAATGGCATTCCGGACCAAACAAAATTAAAGTACATTCTCTGTTGATGTATTACTCACAGGCACGACTCCTGAGATCCCAGATTTTGAGAGTTCTGTCGTGGCTTCCAGACACCACCTTGTTAGAATCGCCCAGGAACCTGGCAGCTAGCACTTTGCCGCTATGACCTGTGAGTGTGTGCTGCAACCGAAAGCAATATAATTATCTACGTTGAAGTGTGGGAACTGTGCAGTTTGTTAGCCTCTACAAACAATATCTTCTGGAGGAAAAGGGAAGGCTGATTTCAGTACTGTTCAGCGTGAATCAAAACCTCATGCATATTTATTGTCTGTACTTATAGGGCACGCTCAGTTTATACATGCACTCATTCTTGAGACCACCTGCTCAGGACAAGAACACCAAATTTCATAAAGGTTTAATTAGTTTTCCCCAAAAAGCACTCCCTGATACTGAATTGCACATCCAAAAACCCATCAGAACAAACTGTATTCTGAGTCAACCATCTTGAATCGAAAGTGACATAACTTTTCATTTTCAGAACCTGAGAGTAAAAATACAGGCAACAAAATAAAGTTAATTACAAATTAATGCCAGTTTACATTTACAATTAAGAATATGTGATTGATATATATATCTGCATGTTTTAAGCCACATTTTGAAAATTGAAAGTAAAGCTTTGTACCCAAAAACGTCTGGCACCACGCCATTCAACAGGTTATATTCAGAGAACACAATAAAAATGGTTTTCTCTTGAATACCCGGATGGAAAAAAAAATGAATAAATGAATAACAGAATACGTACTCGTAACCTGTGATCCTGTGCCCCCCACACTCTTGTCGCATAGTCATTGGATGCTCCGAGGACAAACTGCTCCTGTTGGTCAAAATCGATGCACATGACAGCCGCATTGCTCCCCATGAGGACACCCTTGGACTGACACGAGGCCGTTACTGGAAAGAATGACAGAACAAGGGGATTGGATAATGCCTCACACCAATATGAGGACATTAAGAAGAAGGGTTCAACAGTAATTGAGGCCTCAGACTGATGTGAAGACATTACCAAAAAGGATGGGAGGTAGGGTCTCAGGCTAGCGGCAGGAGCCCCCCTCAGTAATGCATTGCAAAGAAAGCCTCACAATAACAAGAGGGCACCAGCGGAGAGAACAAAGACATATGGGAACTTTCAGTCACAAACCTGCTCTTTGACTGATGAAAGGCTGTTACTGTATTGACAAGATAAATCCCCAACCCAAAAATGAGATTGGATCTGACAAAATGAGCCTTACAGCTGGTCAACTCCCAGAGTTTGACCTTGCGGTCAGCCCCCGCCGAGGCGAACATCCGACCCGAGGGGCAGAACCTCACAGCGTTGACTTCACCATCATGGGCGTCCTGTGTGACATCAAAGCAAGGGAGAAATGTGCCAGTTAGCCCTTGTCCCATCATCAAAGCCTACTCCTTTTAACCACCTGAATCCGGATGATGTTTCAACACACACGATTTTCCTTCTTTGCACCACGAAGGATGTGTACACTCCTTTAAGAATTCTTTTTCATTTCCACAGTTAACGCATTAACGCGTCGTGCTGAGTTGGGTCAAAGTGCAATTGCAAGGTTGAAGAATTTACAGGTCAAAAACCTGCCCCCAGCAGCTTTTTCGGGTAAGAAAATCCGACATTAACTGGCTATAACTAAGGAGTAAAGCCAAAAGCCACTGTGGCCAAACCAATACATCAAACCAAAAGTATTTTGAAGAAGATAGAAGAATCAGGGTTTGGGTCCCAGCAAACTTTGGCTGCACAAAATTTATAAACATCTGTTGCAGCTCATTTGCAAAGCTAAGATATTGTAAGAACCACATTGGTTTGGCTAATAACAGTAATTTCAGTCATAAATCAACCAATATTAATGTTTTTTAACATGCTCCAGGAAGTTCTGTCTATAGAGGAGGCCCAATCCCATTTCCATCAAAATGCTGATCCCTGTAGGAAAATATCACACTAGAAATTGGAGGATTTTCAACTGTTGGGTTTATTAACTGAGTAAAAATTTGACACAGGAGTATATGTCATAGTCACTGAGTGGCATACACCCAAGTCAACTGAGTAAAAATTTGACACAGAAGTATATGTCATAGTCACTGAGCGGTATACACTCAAGTCAACTGAGTAAAAATTTGACACAGGAGTATATGTCATAGTCACTGAGCGGCATATACTCAAGTCAACTGAGTAAAAATTTGATACAGGAGTATATGTCATAGTCACTGAGCAGCATACACTCAAGTCAACTGAGTAAAAAGTTGACACAGGAGTATATGTCATAGTCACTGAGCAGCATACACTCACCAGATGGGATATAGCTTTGTCTGGCACCACGGCACAGATACAGATTGCTGAGGAGGTGGGCGAAGCCATGTCTTGGTATCTTGAGTTCCTGGAGGTAAGGAACATCACTTGAGCATGAAAGGCACAAGAACCTCAGACCAATAGGTCCAATGATACAACAGATTTTGGCATTTTTTGGTGATCCCTGACAAGAGCGAGTGCTGTGGTTAAGTACTTTGTAAATGCCTCAGAGAAGGCTCTGCACTTGACAGGGGAAGTTCTGCTGCCTCTTCCATGCACTCATGTGTGATTACAAGCTGAGTGATTTTGGGGAATGCAGCCGCACTGCGGAATTTTTCTTTACCCGGTGTCAGCTTCCACGTGGATGTCTTTGGCCGCCTCCACCAGCTTGCGTTGCACCTCCTCCTGCTTGCGCCGTAGCCAACTCTCGTTCTCCTGGTTCATGCGCAGGGCGTCGGCGGCCTTCTCCTGCATCCAGCGGGTGACCAGCTCAGCGTTCTCCTCCTGCACGCGCCGGATGGTGTCCTCGGTCTTGGTGTACAGGAGCTGCAGGGCATCCTGCTCGTCCTTCAGAGTCTGAGGACAGGGGAAGAAAAGACAAACCAATCGCATTTGATTATACAGTACCACTGGCATTGAAGACTAACGTGGGAATGGGAGATTTTTTTCACACCCTTTCTCTTCCCAGGGAATTCATTTTCATTTCGCAAAGGGTAAAAAACAATTTCCAGCGGAGGAAAACATTTTCACGCCTTTTCATACAAGTGGGAAAACAGTCTCCCTCGCCTTTCAAAACGCAAAAGTGAATGTGCACCTGAATTCTTTTCGCAACATTTCCCATTTTCATTCGCCGTGTTAGCTTTCAATTGCCATGTACTGTATGATGTCAGAGTACCGTGTGACCGCACTGTTTCCCGGAGACCAGCCACCATGTGGCCGCATAACTTCCTCGAGACCAGCCACTAATGTAGGAGGCCGGTGTCTGGTTGCAACCACACATCCTGAGCTGCATTCTCTCGGTGTTGCATTTTCAATTAGCCGAATGCCCATTGTATTCTCAGGGAGCCCTACCACAGTTGGGCCTATTTGCCTTGAGAGTAACCGCACATTCTTTATAAAAGTGGCATAACGGCTGTGACTTGGACCATGTATCACTGTTGTACTGCCAATCCAGCACAGGATACTGGTTTCATGTCTTTCTCATACCTTCTGCTATTCATGAGCTTTGGAGGCCTGCCTATAGACCTCTTTCACCCACATGACTGGATTGGGCTAAATGTAAACAACACTACAATGTGTGGACTGCCATGAATATGCTGATTGCATGTATTCCTGCGGGCAGCTTCAACCACGTGCAAGCGCGCGTGTGAACGCTGCATGCTTAACTAGATTATCTTGAATACCATCATAACACAATGCACTCATTACCATCACCACGCATCACAGTCCGGCACGATTGTGACATCACAGGTAAAAGGTCTATTATCTGTTGTGCTCGGCACAGTGTGATCTGTCTGCACACAGTGCAACAATGCAACAGTCACCAAGCTGACTGTCAGGGTTCCAACCTTAAACGTACACACTCAAACTCACAACCTACAGTAACTATATCTCAACCACGTGAGCCCCCAGCCAAGCAAGACTGGGCGACCAATTTGAATTAAATCTAACAAACGTCCGTGATGGGATGAATTCTGTTTACATCAAATCTAGCAAATGTCCATGATGGGATGACTTTGGTTTACATCAAATCTAGCAAATGTCCATGATGGGATGACTTTGGTTTACATCAAATCTAGCAAATGTCCATGATGGGATGACTTTGGTTTACATCAAATCTAGCAAATGTCCATGATGGGATGACTTTGGTTTACATCTTACTTCGTTTGTTTTCTGTAGTTCCATCAGTGCCTTCTCCAGGTTTTTCATTTCGTCTTCGTAAGCACTTATCTTGATGTCTGCTTCTTGCAGCCTGAGAGACCACAAATTACAGAAAATGTGGTCAGATGGTTACAAATGAGGCTTGGGCACATTCTGCATGCATGCATTCTGAGTGCATGCACGGTTCTGGGCCCTCGTGCAAACCAACATGCACTGAACATGTCAACGGAGGAGGTTAACATTTATGATGGACCTGTCTCACAAACAGGGCCATTTTCCCAGAAGAGTAGGTCAGATTTTGATCGAATTAGCATCACAGCGATTGTAAGACATGACAGCAAAAAGAACCTATTAGGCATGGTATAAACAGAAAATGCACAGCAAGGATATCTGTGACAAAATAACATGGGGTGATTCCCGCCTCCACACAGCTTTGAAACACACCACATTCGGGTTTTTACACTTCAAAATGATTCTAATGAGATGGAGCTGCAAGGGAGACAAGCCACGATTTGAAAAATGGCACTAAAGGTTCACCTCCTCTATGTGTAGGGTGCACCCTGGTAAATAGGCCAGAAATATGTCCACCGAGCTCATTAATAAAAGTTATACACTCAAAATATTTTATATTAGAGGGTCCTGAGAGCCATGGGACTGGGAAACAGAAGAAATATGGCACTGAACCTCTGGCCCAGACTTAGGGCTTCCAATTCTGAGCAACTGGGGTGCGATCGGGTCCGAAAGTAGCACTGTTTAGCCGTTTTACACAGGGATGCATTTTCAAAATGGCTATTTTTCCCGGGCAGTGAAATTTCCTTCATTTTAGGGGTGGTTTGGTTTGGGTGAGAATTTCTCAAAAATTCATCCGTCAACCCACTAAAAATTGAAAGGAAACGAAAGAGGACATGTCGAACATCATTTTGCTGTCCTGCTTGGACACCTGTGAGAGTTGTAAGTATTTTAAAAATAATTTTGAAATTAAAGGATTTATCATTGGTGCCTATGGGAATTTATTTACAAGGGTGCACCCTGTAATGCAAAATTGGTGGTCAGGTACCTTGACTCTTTGAGCTGCAACTCCTTGTCTTTCTCCTGAAGCTGGGCACTCAGATCAATGAGTTGTTGGGCATTCTGTGCAGATTAAAAACACAAGTTTCAAAAAAGCAAATTTACACACATTAGTCCGTCTCTGTTAAAAATACTTTCTTTAGGTTAACTACTGCTTTGGCCCAAAGACTTGCATGAATGAGTGGAGTTTTCACGCCAGAAGTACTGTATATGTCCATATAAAGTCTACAGTAGTCAGCTGGGGCAAGTTTTTTTTGGGGGGGGGGTTGGAAGTTTTCATGGGGGCTAACAAATTTGAGAATTTCTTTATGTAACTATTCAGCCTTTCTGAGGGTAAGGTTTTAGAAAGGAAGAGAAATGAAACTCTCTCCAAAAATCCCCTTCTCTCATTGTGTATCAAAAAACACAAAAACCATTTGCCTCCCACCCCTTTTCTGAGGGGGGCTGGCATGACCCTTAAAGAGTCAGATCAGTCACCGTGTACAGACCTCTCCTTTCTTCCGATGCATGTCTGTCAGCTCCTCTTGAAGTTTGAAGAGCTTCTGTTCCAGCGCCTGCGTTTTCTCTCCTTTGCTTCCTCCGGTGCCTCTGACAGAACCAAAAAAAACAAAAAACAAAAACACAATCAAAGACAAATTAATCATCTCAGGCAGAGCAAACGAGATAGAAGCGGGCCCTACCAGTCAGGTTGGCACTGTGGTGATTGCCGTCCTCCTCTGTGGCCTGGGATCGAATCCTGACAAAGCTAATGTGTGGATTACCGGTACATTTGCAATCCGGATGTACAAACATGTACATGTACCTGATTTTGAGGGTTCTCCCCGGAATATTTGCCTGAGGTTTTTCTTCAACCTCTAAACTGAATACCCTGTACTTCTTCAATGTTTTCTCTCCAAGACCACTACATGTATGAAGAACAGTTCATGGCTGTAAGCAGCTTTACACTTATAAAATACAGAATGTACATGCATATCATGTACATGTACATATATGTATGTAAGTGATGTTGGTTCTCAAGCCATGAGTATGTTCACATGTCCAAATCAACTGGCTGTGGCTAGCAATAATGCACACACCAATGGAAATTGGCTGCAGCTGCCAGCCAGAACTCCCATGCAGCATACATGTTGTTTTAGCCATACATGTTGTTTCAGACCATAATGTAGCTCCACAAAAGCCCTGTACAAACACTTACATGGGATGTCGGGCAATTAACTTGACTATTTGCCAATTCGACTTTGGACAACCTGACAGTTGAGACAACCCGACCGGTGGGACAGCTTGACTGTTTCCCAAGTCATCCGTTACGACAACTCAACTTTGACATAGAGACAACTCAACCATGTCAACTGTGTGAGATGTCTACATGTACATTACATTGTATTCCAAGATGTGGCCAGCTGGTCGGCACAGGTGCAAGCCATTCAAACCCATACAGTTCGCATTGTGTGCGTCACATGACGTTGCAACTCTTCTCAGACATAGCACGGGATGGCTTACATGTAGCTCTACAGGGCTATAAAGGATGGTTATGATGCATTGGAGAAACCGGCTCAAGGAAATCTGTTATGTGCAATGGTGTCCCGTAACAAATGATTTAAAGACAAGCAAGAAAATCTTTAAAAACAATCCTTTCTTTCAGTGGGTCCAGTAAGACTTTTAACAATGGTGCTGCTGTTTGCATTCATGGAGGTAGGAAAACGTTATACTGACGACCAACTTTAAAAATAACGCGGGCAGCCCAATTCTGTGAAATCTGTCATTTCTTCAAATACACTTGAGGGACCTCGGTTAGAAGTCCACTCCATTTTTCCACATCTTTATTCATGGTGTTTTCTGAACAGTTCAGACCTGTTTTCCAATGGTTTGCCTTGCCCCTAATCTAACGACAGATGCACTTTTCTTCTTGTGCTTACTTCTTAAAAGTCGGTTATGTCAACAAAGTCAAGTTTGCCGAGTCAAGTCCCAAAAGCGACTCAAGCCAATAACACTGTAGTTTTAAGAGCAAATTTCTACAAAAACGTAAACCTCTCGGCCTAATCACAACACGCGAGCAGTGAGCTCCAAAAAAGGGGCACACAAACACATGTGTGTGAGTGCACTGTGAGGTGCTTCAAGCTGCATGTATCATCCAACAGTTTCGTTTCTTGTTTGCTTTTCCAATAAACTGCTTCCTGGCCAATCTTTCCTGTCATAACATTTAATGAGCAATAGTTCCTGATCCAATTAAACACATGTCATGCATTTGTTTCCTCTCCAATATCTGCAGCCACTGACAATGTCTGCAATGTGTACAGCACTGAGTGGACCTCCTTTGTTTATACACACGTAGGATTTTGTTTTGTTTTCCGTATTGTTTTCCTATTTTATCGTTTTATGTGTATTTACCAATTGCAAGCAATGTTGTATTGCTCCTAAAATATCAACAGGGCTGTTCCAATATCCAAGTACAATGTAGGCCTTCATGTATACGGATATCCGATTGATTTAATTTAATTATTTGATTTTTTTTATTAACTGAATATTCAGATGTGAAATGCATGTATGAAAAGTGGAAAAATTCAATTATTGGGATTCCAAATTACACTACAATCACATTTCTAAGTGTCAGAAGTCACCTTCAATGCAGATGAATGCCTACTACGTGTACATGTACCGGCCGGTATGCCAAACAATAAGACCAAATATTATCTTCCCTTTCTTCATGTTATTTTCTTTCCATGTTTTCGTGCGCTTTGTAAAACGGAACACCATATGTGTTTTTTTTTCCTTTGCTTTTGTAGAAATTTGGTACGACAGAATACATGTATCCATTCAATCTAATGGAAGGTCAAATATTTTAATATTCAACTATTCCAACTGACGCAAAACCTTCGAATTGAACATTCACAGTGAATATATGCACGGTGTGGTAAATGCTTTTTGTGTTTTTTATTCTGCCTTGCTGCTTTTCTTCAAGTAAACAGAGTGGTTTGGGCCAACTGCAAGCATCACTGTTTCCCTCACTGCCTTCTGAACGTCTGAACAGGCAATCAAGTACTCACCCTGCCTGCACTTTGATTTGGAGCTCGCCGTTTTCCAGCCTGAGTTTCTCCACCTGAATCTGCAGCTGCAGGTTCTGTGCCCGCAGCGAGTCGAGGTTTATGAACAGCTTGTTATCTGCCGGAGAAAAACACAGAGGGGATTGATGAGCATTCTTTCTGACCCAAGATCACATCTTTGTGACCGATGGTAACAGAAGTGGAGGAGGGAGGCCAGTGCCCCCTCCCCCACCGGTATGTTGATGGGGGGGTTGCCTCCCACACACTCACTTTGGCAGATCCTTTTATGGCTGATACCTGATGTTCTCACAAAGGCACCCTCCCCCACTTTGAAACTCATTCCATCCCCGTTGTTTGTGATCCACCACGAAACGAGTCCCAGGTTGTCATCATTGAAGGTACCTGTATGTACAGTCCTCCATTTGTTGTTTGTGCGTTACGTTCATTTTCAGGTACCAAAAGTGCCCAAACTCTGAAGAATGGTACATTACAGTTTTTAACCCTAATAGTCCTCAGTCCTCCAACAGGTGAAGGATTGAGGAATGTTAGGGGTAATGTAGTAAGTTTGGACTCAGTGAACGCTGTATATTTTGAGGATACCAATATTCTAGCATCTTGATTTCAAAATTTGCAGAGTCATGCTCTGATTTGCACTCAGGGTTCTGGGACATGCGCTCATGAGGCTACCCGTTGCAGCTTCAAGATGCTGTGCACTGAACCGACAAATTATAGCAACCATGCGCACCTGTGCATACATGTCAGCGCTTTGATGCACTTCACCAAATTATAAACAAATTACATGCAAGTACTGGTACTTATGGCAATTTCAAGAAATGCATCTTCAGACCGAGTGTTGGATATGGCCTTCTTTCACGGCTTTCTCAAGAATGCCAACTTGCCTGAATCACTGAATGGGGAGCTCAGTCCCATGACTACAAATTCAGCAAGTATGCCTTTCCACCAAAAATCCTCGTCGGATTACATACCGGGTTGTGGAAAAAACATGTATTGTGCAACAATAATTCATTTAAACAATGGGAAATTTAGACAATGAAGCCTTCATCAGGCCTCTTAAAATAAATCTGAGGTTTGTTTACATGATCCAGAAGGTGATTTAGAGCCAGGGTAAACATTAGTAAAGTCATTCAAACGTACAGTAGCAGAGCACACAGTGCAAGAGGTTGTGTAACAATTTCTTCTCACAGCAGATGGACTTTCAGTTTCAGTTCAACTACTCTGCAAAAGTGCAGCAAGTTGCTTTCTTTCGGTTGATGCACACAAGTAAGCCTGGTGCATCTACATCCGCATGGATGTACATACATGTACATGTATAGAATGTACATGTACCGGTACTCCTTGTGCTGTGCAATACCTCAACATGTTCTTATGTTCAATGTTATTGGCAGTAGGCAGGGAAGTGTTTCTGTCCAAAGTGGAGAATATAATTTCAGATTCCTGCAAAGCGAAAATTTTATCTTTATCTTTATTCCAAGTCAGCAAAATGATATATAAAACTATTAATTTTTAATGTCTCATTTTATTTAGGAAAAGCAGAAATGATTGTTTTATTATTTATTTTCCCCCATTTTTTTTACAAATTTTTGTCACTGACATGTCCGAGCAACAATTTGGCTCACATTGCAGAATACCCCACCACCCAGCATGATCAACCTCATGGTCAGGAACAGGTCAAAGTGTCACACTCTTCTCAAGGGATTTCCACCTTGTACTCACGTAACCAGTCATTCCAGGGGTCATTTTTTTTTAGAGTCGTGGGGTATTCTGCAATTACTCCAAGAATTTTACTTTTAATCTCCCAAACCCCACTGGCGGTCTGACATACCGGAACTTCTGTACATTGTTAAATAACACAAAGGGTAAATATGCAAATTTGGGGACCCCATTCTTATAATAGAGGGGAGAGCTACATGTACATTTTAACTTTTGAATTCACCTTGGTAGATGACTGTGACATCATGCTCAATAACTGTAGGGTTGATGTTATCAAAAAGGGGCAGGGTTTTGAGTTTTGAGGGAAGTTATGAAGAAAAACTGTGAGCATGGTAAGTGTTTTAACACATGACCATAGTGGATTCAAATTTGCATGGCTAGTTTGTAAGAAAGTCTCATTTTCTCATAATTTACAATTTGAGATTTAAAAAAACTAGGGTCAACACAAGAGAGTGTTGCCTTTGTTTTTTGGGGGCCTCACAGTTTTGCAAAATTAAAATGTCAAAAAACTGGGGGGTTCCGAAGTATACAATCCCCACATTTGCCCCTTTGCGGTGTGTTGAAAGTCCAAAGTGATGTCATGCCGATTGCCAGAATGATCTTCATTTGAGATCCAACCAAGCAAATTAAGTTAGAGGCTGGATTCAAGGAAAGATTTCCATATACAGACACCACTTGACACCCTGTGCACAAACCACTATTAGACTGGTCTGAAATGTTCAAAGTGTTTTCTCAGTGAACGACGCAGTATTTTCCCTCCTAAATTGAACTTCTCTGGACATGCTTTTGCTTTCTGATGGCTATTACATAAGTCACTGTAGGCAAGAATTATACTGGCCTCCGTACATGTATGTGGAACTCTTCCCAGATTCAGTAACATTGCACAGAGAGAGGTCCAAAAGGTGTGTGAACTCTTTCCTTCAATGGATGATGCATGCGATGAGTGCATCTTTCGTGTGCAAGCAGCACAGCATACTGAGTCCGAGTAGTCAGTCAGGGCAGTCAGTAGTAATTATTAATATTATTATTTAATTTTCAATGCTGCATAATCAGCGATAGGCCTATAGGCTAGGTAGTACATCCCTGTATATTTATACTGTTATATCACAACGCACTGCATTCTTTGTACAACTTCACCAGCAACAGTTACATCATCGTGACGAAATTCAATGACACTGTCACTTGATATCAATGACAGCTGCTAGCTGCCACTGTGCAACGGCCTGACGGCTGCTCACGATTATGTGCATAGAAATAGCCATAACATATAGATCAAAACTGCGAACAACTTACGTGACTCCAGTACTGCTTTAAAACTCCTGGTTTCAAGCTCATTTCGCGTTTGCAATCGCTTTAAAATAAGTGCTTTCCAAACACAAAACGAGGGCTCAATGGAAGTCGCCATGTTGAACACAAAATTGTGCGGATTTCCCTATCGACAGCGCCCTCTCTTGATCTTTTAACTGTGTTCGGCCTTATGAGCGCCCCGCCCCATTAAACTTCAAGTTGAAGGGGGGGGGGAGAACGCGAACAGATCTTCCATATACCCGCTGAGAACCAATAGGCGCCATACAAAAGCTTGTCATAAAACAAGGTCTCTGATGACTCTGTCCTGCTGAAATATAAATAATTATATAAATAGTTCCATTTATTCAAATGAAAGCCTCATTAATTAAGCCATATTCTTCAGCAAAGACATGGCCTTCCATCATCGCCGCTGATGATAACCCTGTTCCTTGTGAAAATCTGGCGTTTGACAAGCTTACAGGGGGGGGGGAGTCCGGGAAGCGCAGGTAAAAATTGCTTTGAGTGTGAAGGAGTTGTGGGTGTGGGCAGTGGCATAGCGAAGGCATTTTCTTGCGGGGGGGGGGTTGCCAGAGTAAATTTAATGACTTGTAACTTGTTAGCCAACCGTACACGTGGTACACTACATGTCATGCTTCCGGGGAAATGCCAACGGTCAACATATATCGTTTACATACTAACTTTGGATTTATTTGCCGACCGAAGCTGGAATTTTGCCAACTGGAATTAATTATTGGGGAGGTGCCCCTCCCAGTCACTATGCCCCTGGGTGTGGGTTTTGACAGCAATGGGAAGATCAGGCACAATCTATAGTTCGACCAGTAGTCAAAAACTGCTTTTTAATAAAGCATATGTGAAATTCAGTTGCACTTGAACTAGCCTAGTCTGTCAAATTTTAAAAATCTCATCGTAACTCACATTTCACCACTGGCTGCGATTCCCACAGCATACATGGTCATTGACATCTCGACATACATACTGACATACAGTTACTTTCATGGGAATGGTTCCTTCAAATGATAAACGAAATCGGCTATTAATTACCAGCGGTGTGATCATACCCCTGGTCCTAAATGGTCAACTAGATAGTCCAAGCTATCCATTGTTCAGGCGGTGTTAGTCAAACTTGCCCAATGATCATGGATCCGTGGTGGATTGGAGGGCTGGATTAAGTAGTCTTAAGAGCCATATACCGGTAACTTGTATACAATGCTGATCAACGTACCAAACTAAACAAAACATCAAACATCGAAAAGTAAAGTTAGGCCATGTTGGCCTCATTTAATTTCAGGTCTATCGATGTAGCAACTTAGCATCACAGTAAAAAGTACTTGTTTCAAAGACAATGGATAATGCAGGAATAGAAATAAGTTGATGGAATTCAAGTAACACACTTAGCACATCAGATCAAAAACCAGGCTCAATGCCCAGAATGCTTCATACAGACTTTGAATTCCTTACAAGTGCAGCCTTTTGTTTGGCACATAATTATGAATTCACTGCGAAGGACCAACTCTGCCCTGTGTGTCTATATGAAAATCAGGCAAGAATGACGAGGAAGATTCCAACAAAATTCAATGGTGCATTTTTTCAACGGTTTCGTCCCTGTTTACGGAAGAAATGCTACTTTTTCAATGCTCATCTGGGTACAAATTCAAGTTTAAATATATCTTTTAAGCATTTAATAAACCTAGCTTAAAATAGATACATGTACATTGCATTGAAATCACAGTCACTTAAAAAAATGTATAACTAGAAATGGTTACACACAGTAAGGCTCAAAAAAAATAAATACAGCTGCGTTTAATTCATTTTACATTAAAAACGTTTTTGGGGGTTTACTTGTGCTAAATTCTTTTAGGCAAAAGCCAAACACATCTAAATGGAATAATGTTCAACCTATTTCTTTCAGCACCAATTTTTAAGTTTTACTCCTTTTCAGATCAAAATATAAAGATTCCGCCTGATTTTATAGGACGGGTCAAGTTACTGGGAACACAGCCTAAGGAAAGGGGTTAAAATGCTGAGTACAGTTTAAAAATGAAATCATTTCTATCTCTAGTTTTTGCCACTCTTCAATTGCCCCCAGTCAAACGTCGCTTTCGTTGCCGGCATCACTGTCATTGTAAAATGGTTGGTAGCCTGTTTGCTCTCCGTCGCCCGCCGCCACAGCCGGCAGGCTCTGCCCTCTGTCTGCAGGTCGGGTCTCCAGACGGTCCCGCCAAGCAGCCCGCCAGCCATAGGCCGATATCGAGTAGACAGCCTTAGTGTTAAAGGCGCAGGCCAGAATGAAGAAGTAGCCACCGTAGACGATGAACTACAGATGAAGCGAGGGTGGAAATTTCAATGTGATTAAAAAGGGGTCGTTGTGATGCCATGCCTTGAAAATGGCCGTAGATATGGACCTCTGTGTATACAGATAAATCTATCTATCTGCCTGTTTCGTTTTGCTATTTTAAAGACTAGTCTGGTGCCTCTTTGGCTCTGGTGCTGATACATATTTCCATATTCATTAGCAAAACTTATTAAAGAGTGAAAATCCCAGTGTTACACATCTTTGTGCACAAAGAAAAAGCCGGAATTATTGATAGTGTATTTCAATTTCAAATCCAGATGCACATTTTGGAGGGGGTGCTATGTGTAATTTCTTATCAACTTTGTGTCAAAATGACCACTAGGCATCGCGGGAATCGTCCCACATGTTTACTGTGATAAAAAATATCTTGTGGTGATTTTCAGCGAAAATGTGGGGGTGGAGGATTCCGCCCCTCCACATCTCCTCCCATCGGCCCCTCTGGAAATCTCTCCTGGGTTACACGTACTATGAGTGTACTATTTGCTGGAGGGGGGGAGTAATCACAGGCCAATCACAAGCCAGATTGTGGGGTCAGGTCAATCCACAGCAGTATCTAGATACCTGTACATCAGGTGGGGTGTTTAGAGTCCGGGAATCGACCACAATGAAGGTCAAGACTGAACCGAGTACCAAGGCGATGAACATGTTCAGGCCGAACACGAGGGCGTAGCGCTCAAGAGCCAGATACTTGGCTATCTGGTATCTGAAATGAAACGGGACAATGAACAGAAGACTGACAAAAAAAAATCACTCAGTAAAGAGACCACTGTGAAATCACTTAACTGTGGCTGGCAGTGACGCGCGTACATTTTATCTTCAGCCAGAGCCATAACTTTCAGATGCATCTTTCCAAAGCTCCACTGGCAGAGCATCAGTATGGTGTTCCAGAGGTCCCGGGTTCAAATCCAACTCTATTCCATTGGAGCACAAGAGTGGACCAAGAACCAAATGGTGGCTTTTTGGGGGGGGGGATTTATTTTTCTAGGGTAAAAAACTGGAAATGTTTTCATGTAGCCTTTAATATGTGGCCTTTCTGAGGGGTGGGGCTACAATTGTGGGTTTTTTGCACATTTTTGGAAGGATGGAAATGAACTACACCCCAAAAATGCCCTTGTTTTAAAAAAAAAGGCTCCTTTTTCTGCAAAGGGGTGGGCAAATGACCTCTGTTCTTCCCTTCCATGGATCCGCCCTTGCTGGAGCATTTTGATTAGCTCATCTGTTGGACAGCCACACAGCAACTGTAAAGTCAAACCTAGGCCGAGCACTGCCAGGGCAAACAGGTTTGTTTTCCTATGCTACTGAAGAGTGGGTGTCGGATTTCCCAATATTTCTCCACCATTGCAACACTCCTCCATAGATTAAGCGCAGAAGCCTACCACTGACGACAACTGACCGACCAATGAGGACAGTGCAGCATCCTTTGTTTCCCTTATATTCTGTCCCCTAAGAAAGTGAACCATGTACATGTGAGTACATGTGAACTGGCAAACACATTTTAGGAATTTTTCTTGCAGGGAGCCGGTCAGGGGCAATGTAGATGTACACGAACTGGAAATTCTGGCTGGTGACCAGTGGTTATTGAACTTCCAACTTACGTTGCTATGGTTATCACCAACTGATACGAAGAGCGGAAGAGGATGTAGAAGGCGTAGCACAGCCATATGTTGCTTGTCGTTCCCATGATGACCAAAAGAACCGATTCCACGAGGGAGACCACACCTAGCAGCAGCTCGCCGAAGAGGCGCCAGTCCATACGAACGAACATGATCAGGAAGGCTGAAACAGCTCCTGCGAAAACAAAAAACAACAGTACGAATGTATGGTTCCCCCCCCACAAATAGTTTGTCTCTGGTCAGACTGATATTCCCCCCTTCTCCTCCAGGGTTGGATTGTACAGACGATTGCGGACACACATTGTCGGGTCATGGGACTAGACCACATAGCTTTGTTAACAGCTTCGCATCCATAGTGTGCTATCACTGTTCAACATCGATCTCGATGGGATCTATTGCCCTGAGTAAAAGATCGAGCCGCCTGCAAAAATGTTGAGGCAGTAGGTCAATAGAGGGCGCTGTTGCAGCTCTCGCAGAGAACGCAATTGGGACGCAATTAGTTTCAACTGGCCTTTTTTCTTTGCTTTTTATTTTCCTCAATCAATTGGAATTTCAAATGGGAATCAAATGGTTCCAATGGGTATGCTTTCTCCCTGTTTGTTTTCCTCGATCGATTGGAAGTTTCAAATGGGACGCAACTGGTTCCAAGTGGTTCGCTTTCAGCTTGTTTCCCTCATCAAATGGATTTTTCAAATGGGACTCAATTGGTTTGAATTGGTATTGAAAAGGTTTCGATTGCTTCTTCGGTTGGTTACAATTGGAATGTGAATTGGCATTCAAATGGTGTCAGTTGGTTTGAAATGGTCCAACTGAGAAAAGGTCAGAATTTACAGTTCAAACCAGTTGAACCCAACTGGATTCCAATTGATTCCAAGCAAAAGCAGTTGGTTTTTAATTGGTTATTGAACTGGTAGGTGAATTGGATCCAATTGGTATGTGAATTGGTCTCAATGGGTAAATGAATTGGACACTTTCGGTAGGGAGCTCTCGAAATAGGAATACAAAGAACCAGACTTCTGTAAAAACAGGAGAATTTTAACAGTTGGAGGAAAGATCCTGGCCAAAAACAAATGAGGGTATACGGGTACATGTTTTCTTTTTCCATTTATACCAGTAAGGGTGGACACTGCTTCCACTGCGCCGTTGTACACGTCCCGATTCAAGTTGTAATTTCCCGGTTTCTCATCGATGATCTCCCACAGGTTCTGGACGTAGTTGCCGACCTGAAAGTTGCCGCAGGTGGCAAAGGCCCACCACAGGGACCACTTCAGCAGGTGGAAGTTACCGTAACAACTCTTGAAGTCGCTCCACATGTGGGTGAAATTATCCCGGCAGCCGGGCAGGGAACGCCGAATCCAGGTTCTGCCAGTGTTCCGAGGACTGGGGCCGCAGCACTCCAGAGTTGGGAGAGCGTCCTCTCTTCTATCCGAGGACGAGGGGGAACTTTGCTCAACTGGTGGTGTGGTATTGTCGGAGTTCACTTCTGGTGCAACAGTGCCGTCTTCCTTGCTGTCCACAGAGGGGACTGCATCTGCAGGAGTTTGCGTACGCGACACACCTGCGCGGTCGCGGCTGCGGTGGAAGTACAGAGTCTCCCGGACGTTAGGAAGCATGATTGCCACTACCAGAGAGCACACGACACTGGTCATAGATGCAATATTCAGTCCGTAGTAAGTGGTGGCCTTCAGTGAAATCAGTAGCTGACTCAGGGCACCAGCCATAAAGTTGCCCGTCAGGATGGCGGAGCGCGTGTAGCTGGACACGCGCTGGAATTGCTCAGTGGGCACGGCGGCAAAGATGTAGGCATAGTAGGCAATTTCAGTGGCGGTGGCTAGTCCGTATATACACTGCACAAAGAGCAATAATTACAGGGAAAACTGAACTACATGTACACGTAGCATGGATGTTTCAGAATGCTGCTTCAATTTCAACACGTGCATCAAGACTTCCAAATCTACGCCTCTATCATATGATCACATTCTCTACGAAATCATTCAGCTTCAAATGAAATAGGACCTCAATTTTGAAGTCTTTTTTCAAATCTTTACGCAGGTGAAATACAGAGGAGCTTGTCACTGATATTACTGTACCTCAAGGAAATTCTGGAGAGTTTTGTGAAATAGTATACATGTACATGTAGAATGAGAAACAGCTGGTCAGATTTGTATTGCTTTTTGTATTTTTTTTGCAATCATTTTCAGAGTTTGGTGCTGTCTTCTGGAAGCCCAAATAAACCAAATGAAGGCAATTCTAACGATTCTTGTGCACATCACTTTGAGTTCCTCGGTCGGTAGTGCTGTGCATCAGAACCAGGTGCCCGAGCACCCAAAGTTTTCTGCTGATGTCGGACACAGGTTCCAAAATTATGAAACTGGGTACCCGCAGTCAACTTTATAAATAACAGGAAATTTTCAGTCAACTAAAGAGAAAGGTTGTTTAGTGTTTCTTGCAGGTAAAAAAATAAAAAAAAAACAGGCTATGTACATTGTACCGGTGCATGTAAGATGCCAAAACAGATTTCACAATAATGTTGATGAACATTTTTATTTTTCGACTAAGACAAGTATGACAATTTGACTGAAGATTATTCTATTCCAAGTACGCTTTTTCTTGGAATGCTGCACTTTCAAAGACTCCTTCACCATGTTTACCATGTTTACAGGTATACAGTGCATACATGTACATGTACATGTACATGTACTACGACATGGGTATGTATGTTTTAATATTACGGCGTTTTCACCATCCTGTGCCATGTATGGGGAGTTGGGTTGGCGTTGTGGTTCTTTCCTCACCTTCCACCTCAGTGGGATGGGTTCGAAGCCCGGCCCGGTCCACATACATCTATGGATTGGGTTTTCAGTCCCTACCTGACTCTGTGGGTTTTACCCAGAATATTCCTCTGGGGTTTTCCCTCCCACCTCTAAAACTGCAACTGCTCCTTACTGTCGCCTCTAGGTTTAAGGCTAACAAGCTGAAGTGCCTCGGGTGCTTTGGAGGAATCCTTGGTGTCGTTACCAGAAATGATGAACAGCAACAACGAATGCATCTTACTATTCACTGGGCCGATATGTGGACTAAAGGCTTTCGTACCTGCATCAGTATCATCTGAGGCACCCCTTGGCCCCACAGGAGGATGGCCCAGGTCCCGACGTAGGCCATGCCCTCAAATACCACCACAGGCTTGTAGCGCAGGAGGTCGGTGAACAGGAAGACGGGCACCAGCGCCAGCATGTACGAGTAGGTCCAGTAGGGGTAGACCACGTTGTCCAGGTCCCGCTCGGTGATGTTCTTGTCCTCGATCAGGTAAGGGGTCAGGAAGGGCTCCGAGGGGCGCATGGCCTTGAGGAAGCCATACAGGCAGACCAGGGCCGTGGCCAGGACCCAGCGCCGGGGTTGGTGGTGCTTGTAGTAGGCCAGGAGCGGCATCTGGAAATCTGGGCAAACAATCGAAAGAAAGCTGCACAGGTGCATTAAAGTGCATCCTAGAACTAGGATCAACTGTGATTTGAATGAAATTTTCTAAAAGACAAAATGACGAAGCCCAGTATAATAGACCTGTAACATAAGAGGCAAAATGACACCACGCCGCTTTGTTCACATATGCGCTTTAGGGCTGAGTCAATTCGAATAATTCACTAGTCAAATATTCTACCTTCAATTTGATTGAAAATCCGAATATTCAGTCGTACTAACCAGCAGATTGTTGATGAACAAACCATATACAAAATCAGTTGCTGTAATGCAAACATTTGTACATTATGATCAATATAATCGAGTCTCAAATCTACTTTACCTCCAGCCACTTTTTAGCAAGATTTAAGAGATAAACAAGACTTCTTGCCCTGTTGAAAATTTCTGTTCCTTTTAAATTACAAATAAACAACTAACTTTTTAAATCCCTGTAAGATTTCTAATGCTTTTTATTTGAATCTGCTTGAAACAAGCCTCCATAGTGCAATTTTTCTCATTTACATGTAAAACAAAAGAAAATGCTCCCTTCCTTTTCATGAAATTTGGAAAACAATATTCGATCATTTGACAATCAATCGAATATTCTGTTATTCAGATATTAGGCACAGCCCTAATGGCTTTCCTGTGGCTGTTACACTTGTAGGTGGGGTGCGATCCATGAGTCGAAATAGCCAAGCTCACATATACACAAGGCATGATGTCATTATGTTTTAGCATGTTTACCGATATGCCTATTGAGTCTCCTAATGTGGTGCACTTCGATGTTTCCCTCAATTTTCCCAATGCAGTTTTGCAAAATTTCCTCAAAAACTTTAAATTCATTCACTGTCACCTGCATGTATACAACACATGCTGTTGAGCCATTGTGAACAATTTCAGTAGCATGCGACTGTTCAAAATTCAAAAACTGCGGTGTCCGGAAATTGGGCACGATTCAGCTGAGTGTTCCCGAATGTTACACACTTGGATAAAT